AGGGTGGGGAGGGTGCGGGGGAGGGATGGGGAGGGCGGCTCAAGCGGAGGGGTGGGTGGGGTGCTCGCGGAGGTGGCGAGACTGAAACTGGGATCGTCCCGTCCACGGTTGAAAGCAAAGGATCTGGCTGGAATGTAAGGTCTGGCAGATGCCACGGATCCAGTGAATAAAAGAAAAAAAGTTTATTTTTCGTTTCCTCTATTTTAAAGATGCCTAAATAAATAAACAATAGCAGCAACTTTTCATAAGCCTAGCTGAATGCAGTGGGTGACTTCCAGCACATGCGCAGTGCACAGTGGGTGACTTCCAGCACATGCGCCTGTTTCCTCCAGGAAACTGAAGGGGGAGGGGGAACCTGATGTACAGCAAGCAAGAAGGCAAACTGGCGTGCCATTTTTAATTAGCAATTACGGGTTGACTCTATTTGTTGTGCGTTAGAGGCTTCTTACCTTTCCAGTCCCTCCCTCCCGCTCCCTCCCCAGACACATGGATGCTTATGGTTACAGAGGTGAATGTTAGTCTATTTTTAGAAGAGGATCCTTCTCATTTTAATGCGTGTCTCCTTATGCCAGTGTTGTGCCAACCTCTCGCCTTTGATTATTTTTCATTGCTATTGTTTCTGAGGAAAAATACTGTCCAATATAAGGAGCCTTAATCCGGGCCCTTTTTATCTCTCAATATGGTTTGGTACCTGTTTAAATGCCCCATAGGAGGGGGAAAAACAGTTTTGTTTGGATTTGTCCATTTCAATATTTTACAAGTCACAGCATGTAGCTTGCTTATTTTCAGTGCACTAAATGGGAACAGCTAATTGTACTGTTACTTACTTGTTCTGCAGTTGTAATTACTCTATAATGACTTGCAAAGAATTATAATTTTGATTGCCTTCCAATTTTTAAACAAAATAGAAGAGACTTCCTCACACCCTTTCTTTCTTTCTTTCTTTCTTTCTTTCTTTCTTTCTTTCTTTCTTTCTTTCTTTCTTTCTTTCTTTCTTTCTTTCTTTCTTATATATATAAGGGAATATATATATTCACCCACAAGTTATCTGTGGGTGGTAAAGCCACACACAGAGCAAGACTATATATAATGTGTGTATATATATAGTGTGTGTATATCCACAGTTTATGTTTATAAACTATATAGATATAAAAACATAAACAATATATATACAGTATAACCACACACAGATCTAGGAGGAAAGGCAGAAAATATGATAGGTGGGCCTGTCTTCCCAGTATTAAAAACTAATTAATATATCCTAATTACAAGCACAAAAATTGAGAAAACTGGGCTGATGACAAAAGGGTGTGGAAAGGAAACAAAGACCAAGATCCCTTCTTAAGATATTATAGATGGCTTTCCCTTGTCAATATTAATGCAATATGCAGAGATGCAAATCTTAGGAACAGCACCCTGTTTGTCTCTCATTTTTAAGTCCTCCAGCACGATCCCCCGTAATGAAATATTAAACACATTCTGCATCAAGCTCTATAAAGGCCTCCTCGCAATTAAATGTGCCACTGAGCATTCCTTGTGGGGCTTTTTGACGGGTCAGCGTGAAATGCTTCCCAAGTGGATTGCTACTTGTAGTGCAACGAATGAATGGATGACTATTGTTTACAAAAGTGGCGAAATTCACTGTCCTTTTGCTGTGGGCTGGCATTAAAAGAAATCTGTTCAAATGCGTCCAAACGGTGCCAGCCATCTTTCTCTTAGGGAAGAAAACAGGAGCAGCAACAACAGCAGCCAAAGCCGTCAGCAAACCTTTCAGGGTCTGTAAAGAAAAGAAGCCAAACCCCAACATCTGGTAAGTGGTGTGTATGTACCGATGCCTATGTGTAGCTATGTCTATGGACAGGCAGGCAGGGAGGGAGACGGACCGAATGTGCAATAGTCTCCAATTTTGACTGTGGGTCATGACAGTGCTCCTCATTTGCAATCTACTTGTACGACAGTGCCAGTTAAGCAGATAACATGTGGGTGAATTGACTTGATCTGTTCTGAAACTGTGAACAGTTAACGGGGGACGCTTTTCTGTCTTTGTTAAGGGTTTCGTTCTGGGATTCCTGGAAGGAACCCATGTGGCTTACTTGCAAGTAATTGGGTTTAAGAGTTGTGCAATGCGCACCCTCCCTCTGTTGGCTTGGATGAATATTGATATATGTGGTTGGTGGCCATTGCTGTGGCTGAAGGCAAGTGTTGTAAAGGCCTTTTTTAAATGATCAAACAATGATCATTGGAACCACATGGTTGTCAAAATGTCCCTTTCTTCCTCCTCCTTTTGGTGTGTCAGGTTCCTCCGGTAGAGAGAGACTTTTTGCCAGGACCAAATGAATCCCTTTTTGTGTGTTTTAGTTATAAAATGTTATTTGTTGCATCTTTCTGTAAGCCTCTCTCTTCAGTTCTGAGAATTGCCCATACTGAACACATTTTAATGTATCGATTTTATCTTTAAACTGACATATGGCTGTTGTTCATAAACTCTGAACATTTGAGTAGATATAAAATGAGGAATAAGGACCTGATTTATCTTCTCCGTGTTTTACAGACTAAATGAAAGAAAATGAATGACTTCTTTTATCTATAACATCACCATACACCAGACAATATACAGAAAGGACTCAGACTTTATTGACATATAGGTTCAAGAAAGAAAAAAGAAAAAAAGAATACATTGTTAGCAAACATACAGGGACTGAAACCAATGAAGTGCTAGTTGTATTGGCCTCTGGCACAGCTTTTAATACTGTGTAGGGGTCATAAGCAGTGCAGTAAATGTGAAAATTGAAAACCACAAAATTGACATGGTAATATAAATCTTATATATTTATAAAGGTGAAAGAAATCATAATAAGCACAATTGAAAAGGCTTTTAGAACAAATACCATAATAATAATAATACTTATATTCATAATAACAAATAATACTAGTACTAGAACTAGCACTACTACAACTACTGCTACTATTAATAATAATAATAATATATAACAGTAATAATTTGTAAACTATACTTTTTTCAGCACAGAAAAAAAAGGTGAAACACTGTAATGAGTCAAAGTTTTAAAATGACAACTGCTGTTACAATAGTAATAATACTCTTTGAAGTCATGCAATATACCAATTTACATTCTTTCCTGCAGGTCCAGAGGGACTGAAAAACTGGCTCAGTTGGTATGAACTACCAGGAGTTGAGCAATACAGTGTAATAACTGCTATCTTAAATCAGTGGTCAGCTTTTTAAAAAAATAGTATTAGGCCAGATGATCATAAGAAGGGGGATTTGACTAAAAAAACAGAAGCAATATTAATAACAACAACAGAGTCAAAAACAACCCTCAAAAGCCCCAAAACTGAACAGTTTCTTTAAAGGGTTGGAAGAGGGTGTATTGACTTGGATATTCAACTGTCTTTGTGTATAATGTTCTGATGTGTGTGCTTGTGTGTGCCTGATTGGAGACTTAGCTCATCATATGTATTTGCTGTTCTTGCTACATGCTGTTACAAATACGTGGGCACTTCTGCACAAAACGTAAGGTACAATCCTGTTCTCTATCATCTGGAAGTAACTCCTTCAGGCTTGAGTGAAGCTTATATTTCAGTAAACATGCCTAAGATTATACTTTGAATTCTACTAGTTACAATGGTATCAACTGGAGTTGAATGATTTTTTGGGGGGAGGGGCAAATAAAGAAAAGCAAGAAAAAAAGCAAAAATGTGCATAGATAAAAAGCAAAAATTAGGATATGATCAAAGCTGAAAATAGTAGTTTGCGAAAGCATAGGGAGACGGAATGATATTTTGAAACAGGGTTAATGCAATCAGAATAAAGAACTGGTATCTTTGAGATGAAGAAAAATGTTGTCTAATATACATTATGTGGTAATATTTCCTGTACGTATCTGTACACACACTCACACATACAGCGGTGCACAAGAGGGATGAAACTACTGGTGTGTACACTTAAAAAATCCTTTTGTGCCTCCTGTTCTTTGGAGTTATCTTAAAAGTGTAAAAGGGAGTTATCTGGCTTGGAGTTTTTGCAACCCAAATGATCTGATGTTTAAAAGCACTTTCCCATTACTTCCTGTTGTTTGGTTCAATCGAAAAGATGCCAATCTGAGCGCCGTCATTTTTTTTATTTGGTTGACGGATACTCCGTCTTGCGCTGAAATCGAGGCTGTGTTTTCCATGGCGTTCCTGCCCGACTGTTCCTGTGAGACGGGAAGGGAAGGGTTTCGTTTGTTTGCTTGCTTGCTTGCTTGTTCCCTGGTTCGCAGGAATAGAAAGAAATAATACAACTTGGCTGTTTCAATTGCTGGACTGGGGATGGGTAACCAGGAGTCGAAAAATATGGCGTTCTGTTGTTGATTTAATCTATATAAGATTTACTTGGAATGAAGTTTACTCGGGATCGTCCCGTGATCCCGAGTACTGTGAGATATGTGGATCGCACACACTCCAAATAATATTCTTTTCTGGCACCTTAAAAGCTGACAGGATTTCGCTCCGAGGTAGGCCGCTCTCTGTTTTGCCTCGGAATTAGGGGCAGTTAATACCGATGGAAGTCACCCAGGTTAGAAAAGAAACTTAAAGCTGTTGTTACAGATTTCCCCTTAAAAAGTCAGGCTTGGAAAGGAGTTCCTCTGGTTTCCAATGGAGTGAACAGTGCGAAATAACAAGGATTGAACCCCCCGGTGCCTTTCCTTTTAAAAACAAGTCGAGCTGGTCGCCCTGCGCCTTACGACTTAATAGGATGGGTCTCATCTAGTACTTTGCGTGGGTAAGGATCGATTATTATCATTTTAGATGCTCTCCAGAATTTAATTAATCGTGGCTGGCGTGTGTGCGAATGTGCGCGCCCGCGCGGCGCTGGCATGCACACTCCTATGCATACGAACCGGGACGCACACCTTTGGATGCCAATAGAGCGGGTGTCACGTCTGGAGATCCTTTTGCTCCCCCCCCTTCTCTCTGTCCCTTTCTCTTAATTGCTGTCTTCTTTTTGTTTACGTGTTTTGTATACTGCCACCAAGTGACTGAAAGTTAGCAGGCCACAATTTTCCAGTTCGGGTCCTTTTCTCCACGTCCCCCCCCCACTCCCGTCTCCATCGCCTCCCAATTCACAGAGGATGGGGGAAGGGAGACCAAGGGAAAGAAACGAATAAGACCAAAATTACGTCTCTTCTTCTTCTCTCCCCCCCACCCCACCTCCCGGAACCCCGTTCAACTCAGGAGAGTTCAAATGCTCAGAGGGAGAAAGAAAAGGACGAGGATGCCATAAAGGCCGGGATCTCGGAGGGGTTTACTACTTTCAAGTCAGTTCCTTTTGCTATCCCATAAACTGATTAAGGTTCTGGGTGGACAGTTGTTAGGGCTTCACAAAGTTTGCTCTTGTCGCCGAGCTGTTTGGAAGTCGACTGTTTGAGACGGTATTTGTCCCCTGGAAATGTCTTGGTCTCCTTTTGGGCTCTAGTTGTAGCCCTCCCCCCCGCCCCCCCCCCCCCCACATCCCAGCCCTTAGACCAGTCAGGCCGCCGTCACTCTAGAGCGCTGCTCTGTGTGTGCGTGTGTGCGTTCGTGTATTCACAAAAATAGATAAGACGCGTCTGCTCGGGAAAATACCACGCTCCCACCCACCCCCTCACCTGCGTCTTTTCTGGAAAAGGAATGGGTGTATTTAAGCAGACTCTAAAATATGAAATTGCACCTCCGTTAAAGGCTATGCAAATTGCGCGTGTTTCCTAAAGTGCAGAAAAGATTGCGTCTCCAAATATATAGTTTAATTCTGTCTTAAGTGATCGCCTCTTTTAAAAACACACATCATTAAGGCAACTAATATTGTGCCATGACTGATTGTTTCTTTCTTTCTTCTTTCTCTCTCTCTCTCCCCACTCCAACTGCTTCCTGGCGTCCTGAGATTAATTCCCCCACCCCGTCCTCCAACCTCATGTGCAAACAATAAAATAAAATAAGAACTCGTAGATAATGACAACCATTTCTTATCGTTGAATTATTCTTCCTGAACGTATTAAAATCGTATTCTTCTTTGTTTAATCTGCTCACGGGCGTAAGTAGTTGCTTATATCCATATTTTATGTTGCTCTATAATATCACGCTTTATAATTTTAAGCCGGTAGCTGTTCTCCATGACAACTCGGTGTGACGTCACGACCGCAGCTCTCTTGAATGTGTAAAGGAAAGAGGGGGAACCTGGGTGGGTAGGAAACATTCCCATGCCATAAAAAAGGAGTAACCCGAATCAGCCATAAAGTTCTTTAAAATGAAACATTCTTTGGTGCAGTTTTCAGTGTTAATCGGGTCTTAGATTACAGTATATGACTCAGTATCCAGCAAGAAAGTTCTGACTGGTTCAACGAACCCCTCAAAACTGAAAGGTGATGATGATATGATGATGATTATAACAATTGTAGTAGTAGTAGTAGTAGTAGTAATAGTAGTAGTAGGAGGAGGAGGAGGAAGGTTGATGATGTCAGATGGACAACAGAAATAATAAATGCGGCCAGATAAACGGGAGGGCTGCACCTTTTGCCTTTTGAAATTCTCTACAGTAGTTCTTACAGAAAAAGTGCTTTTAATGAGTCCAAGATTTAATTCAGGGACAGGTGAGGGGCACATACAGAGGGCGACGCTGTTGCTTGGACAGGATTGACCGACGTGAAGGTCTGGCCTATGGAAGTTTCCAGTGTTCGGAAGGAGAGGTTCCGAGAAAGCTGCAATAAAAGCGAAACAGACATAAGCGAACAAACAAGACCACACGGGAGGGTGTAAAGGCTTAGACATAAACAC